ATCTTTCAAAGTGGCCTTCTTTATGTTTTTGAGGAATTGGCTTTAGACAGAAACTCAACTGAGCATGTGCAGGAATAACTATTGTTTCACATCCATCCTGGAAAGTTTTTATTTTTAAAACAAACAGTGTATTTCTAGATGTATCCACCAACATTTGCCTGTAAACAGCCCTTTTCTCCAGCTTACCAACGTGAAAAAACTTCAAAAAAGTATTTTCACAGTTGTTACTGTGCGCCGGGTGACTTGTGAACACTAGTCTGATGACAGCGTAAACAAATAAACAAAGGCTCTAACATCAATAGTGTGCTGAGTCCAGGTCCGTGTTTTCTCCCGCCCTACATGCTCAGTTGAAAGGCCTCAGGATCCTCATTAGTACACACTTGTCCCAGGTCCTTGGAGCACTCCCGAGTTTGTTCAAGCCCAACTTTGCACCAGATGGCATTCATTGTCTCCCCTTTGGCTGTGATTTTTCCCATTTTTCTGTTTTTGTTTATTAAAAGCATGTTGCAAGTGTTGGTAGTGCAATTCTTTGATAGTTTTCTTCAGTTGGCTCACAAAAGTCATGTGCGTAGGTGTCCAAAGTCTTACTCACTGCAGACTGATATGAAGGGCTCTTTCTGTCTGGGGCCTCTGGGATCCTCCTCCACATTGTTGCTTTGTAATGCTGGCAAACGCACAGTGAGTGACGCCAAGAGCGATGAAAAAAACAAACCAAAAAAATAACAATTGGACTGCCTTTTAATTGTGATTTTTTTTTTTTTCTCACTGGATTTCAAAATTAGCACTTCACGGCCAAGTGTTTGTTGTTTTATCATCAGAGTCGCACGTTCACAGCGATGATGACCAAGACTAGCAACAGTGAATAATATTGACGCGGTGTCGCACGAATGGATATTGTGGATGTCTAGTGGGACGAAGAGTTGCTGACCTACATCTGCTGACATTTTAAATCCCGGACCTCTTGCTATGCAGATGTCCTGACTTGTGCCGACTCACGAGCCGTCCTCCCGCGCCTTGTTAGCTGTCAGGGAAACAGACAGGTCCATTGGCAGGCCTGTGTCAGCTCTGTGATGCGGCGGCGGACATCCAATGTGACACCATGAAAGAATAGTATTGGTATTGGCTAAAAATGTGCAGCATGCAGTTTTAAGTTCATTAAGGAGGTTTTGTTATTGAACACATCCACACTTCAGGACTATTTTCTCAAACAAACAAAAAGTTCTGCAAAATGGATAAAACATAAACTAAACAAGTCCTATAACTTTGAGTATCAATTACAGTTAGTGACTTCCTATAGAGTTTTCAGATGTAAAAATCCCCAGGAGCCTAATAGAATCTAAATATCAATAGTTTTGCTTTCAGAGCCAGCACTATTGTTTACATTTTATTTTTTAGGATGGATCGCTATTACAATATTTAAAAAAAACTAAAAATTATAGATAAAATGTATGTTTTTTTGTTTTGTTTATTGAGTATTGATTGATTGATATTGATATTTCTACATTTCTAAATTATTAACACGGTTTTAATGTTTGCTGAACATATAGACCGTGTGGTCACTACTCACCAGAAAGCTGATCAGCCCCAAATAAAAGTTTCAATCTTATCGACAATACTTTCCATATTACTTCTGGAAGCCTGAGTGAACTTCCACTTAGCAGCTCCATAATCACACGTCTGGACTCTACAGCTGAGGGCCTGTAGTTTTGTCCTCTGGTGATTGATTACATTTGTAAGTGGAAACAATCTTTTTTGGCCTGGTTTTATTTTTTTGTTATTTGTTCTCTTGGAGTTTGAGTTGCTTCCTGTCTGTTCTGTTGATTTTTGCCCCACCCTAATGTGATCCACCTGTGTGTCCCTGTGTGTATTTATACCTTGTGCTTTTCCTCACTTGTTGTCCGTCCATTGTCTCAACCATGTTTGTCCTGTCTTCAGTTCTGGAGTTTTTGTGTTTCTACATTACCTTGGATTTGTTTTATTAAATTACTTTGATTTTCAGTCCTGCATTTTGGGTTCCCTTTTTTCTTCATTCCCTCACGTGACAATCTATCCGCAGACATATTTAGATGATAACTTAATCCTTTTGTTGTTTTGCTGTTTGGAAGGATCATCTGATAGATACTAGAATTACTAACATTTCACAGCTAAGGGAGATGTCACCAAGAATAGAGTGGTGCAGCTTTAAACAGTGGGAACAATTGGCTCCACTATTGATCAGCTGTGTTTAATGAAAGGTTGGATGCATGGTTCTTTCCACATGATGCAGTGGACGTACACAGCGCCTCTCCAGATGCCCAAAGTGCTTCATGTTGTATTATTTATACACTTGGTGGCTGTACTGTACATCTCAGTCACAGCCTGGTTTGGCAAAGACAAACTTGGTTGCCACATGCATAAAATAACGATTCAGACCAGGTTTATTAATTCATTTGGAAAAAAAGCAGCATCTTCTGCCCTTGTTGATGTAATGTCTAATGCAAATACTGAATTGTGAGAACTCAATGCAGAAATATTTCTCCTCAAATATTAATTAGGAAAAATAGAACCTTCACTTAACCATCCCTATCTTGATCAAATCAACATATTGGAGGCTTTTTCACAGGGGGCATCATATTAACCTATTTTCTGAAAGTTTGATTTCCTTAGTTTCTTAGTTAAAGCTTGAGGGCCTAAATTGTTTGGTTTCATGAATGCATTTTGTTTATCCTGACTAAAAGAGTATTGTCCACAAATCAGCTCATTGGAAAATGTGTTATCATTTACATACTGAGAGCTGATTGAGCACTGAAACATGCATGTGAAAACTAATGATAGAACCAAGCAGCTTTCAGAGCTTGGACCATATTCTTTGTATGTTTAGAATTTTAAAATTGCATGTTAGATAATTTTATATATAAAAAAATCTAATTAAAAAATAGCACTACTCATATTTAAATTAAATCAGGTTTATAAAATATGTAGTCATATGTAACACACAAAGTTGGAACTACAGTAGCTAAACCCCAGCAAGTGCTTGCATCAGTATCAGTGCATAGGAGCGACATGTGTCACAGGCAGGAAGATTCTGGATTGTAATTGTAATGACTTGATTAGACCACTATTATACCACTATATAACCCCAGAGTTTATTTTATTTTATTCTTATTTTAATTCTATAGTCTATTATCTTAAATAATAGACTCAATTTGATTTGTGCAATCTGAGTGCTCTTATTTCCTTCTTTCTCTGCTGTAATGTGCGCAACGTTGACACTGAAATTTCTCCACTGTGAGATGAATAAAAGAATATCTTATCTTATCTTATCTATTCATACGGGATTAGTATTACCTGTGGACCTCTGGTAATTTTTAAATTACCGCCTCTCCTCTGTGATACTTGCAGGACATTCCCATGGGATAAGCGATGTCTATATATTACAATTTTTTCACTGAAATAACGGACACGTAACGGCCGCATGTGCATGAGTCTCTCCGCTTCACCTCGTAGTGACACGGCTCCAGTCAAACCAGATGGGAAACATGTTTGTGCTGATTGTCCTTGGCACTAGATCAGCTCCACACACACTTCACTTATATTTAAACTTTAGCAGGAGGAGACAGTGATTCTGGACATCGTTTTGTTCGTGTCTGTTTTGAGTCTGACCACAGCAGCCACAGAGACCATGAGGACAAACACATACATGTGGATATTACTGCTGTACAGTTCTCTGGCCCGTCTTGTGCGCAACGCTGACACTGAAATTTCTCCACTGTGAGACTAATAAAGGTTTATCTTATCTTATCTTGACACACTCCATAGACCTCACAGGGACAGCAGCAGCCACGTCTCTATTGGTGTGTATAGCCACTAAACATGAGTCTCCTCCCCTGTAGAGAGGCGTTCGTCACTCGCTGCTCTTACGCTGTGTACGAGCTGAATCATAGTTTGGTGCAAAAAAGCTTCAAAACTGTGAATCAACATTTCTACCTCAGCCTCCATGGTTCTAGTCGGGAAGAGTTATGAAAAGGCGCAAGATACAAAAAACAACACAGAAAGTAGGGAAGGTGGTAATAGCAATCACAATCACTGACATGCAGATTCACACAGGAATAGTATTATCACTGGACGTCTGTGTTTGGCCAAATACAGGAGGACATTTCCGGCGGAAATATTTCTTTACAAATTGCAGACATGGCGCATTCGATCTCAGACGTCCTCCGCGATTATCAAAAATTACCAGAGGTCCACAGGCAATTTTAATCTTGTGCGAATAGGGCTTTAATATGCTTATTACATATGGCATCTTTAACTGATTTTAAACATATTTTTTGGTAATTGATTGAAAATCTTAATTGTTAAATCTTGATGTTCTTTCTAACGTGCCAGGGTAAACTCATAGACTGCAGATGTGTGGGTGACTCAGACTGAAGCCACATTATTAATTCTTGACAAACATTCCTTCAAGGGTAAAAATCTCCCTCTGTCATCATCACACCACATACAAACATGCGGCTGTAGCCTCCAGAAAAGATGGACAAAACCGATTTCTTCCTTTTACAATTGGGGCAAGCGAATGAAACCCGGTCTAAACAGCTGAAATGTAATTACAGGAATGTGCCGCATCAGTAAATATCTCCATTAAATGTCACAAGAGTCCTACAAGCATAATTTGTTGCCAGCACTGTTTTCTGGGGCTCCCTGGATTTATTGACATTAATCTACCACTCTGCATACACCTTTTATAACACAACCTGCAGAAATGCATATGTCAGAGGTGGTCATAAATAACGTGCATTGACAAAAATCGCATCCATATAGTGAGTGGTTAGTGATCCGCATAAAAAGAAATATGTCTCCCACAAACATTTGAATAAATCATCGCCAAGTCTCAGGAAGAAGTGCGGAGAGTCGTGTCCGTAGGTGGAAGGCAGCAGCAGTGATAAATGAGATGTTAGCAAAGTGTTTTTTCATAATGGTCTTCCCAAAATCTGTTACTAACTATGTCTGTTTTTCTTTTTAAGGATAACAACCACAGCTGCCTGCATGATGGACTTGAGGAGGTACCCCCTGGATGAACAGAATTGTACTCTGGAAATTGAGAGCTGTACGTATAGATAAAATATAAATTATGACGTCTTATCTCTGTGTTTATTGATGATACAGTCTTCTTGCAAAAAAAAGAGATGCAACTTTATCTGCGTGCACAGAAAATCTAAGCAGAGAGGTATGATTTCATGGAAACGTTTTGAAATTAAAATGTCAGTGTTGCACCAGCAGTTACAAAACAATAAGTAGCACACAGCACAAGAGAAATTAACAATAACTCTATATACTAAAATAAACATCTCATGCATGAAGAAGAAGCAAGTATAAAATCTCTACTTTGGCATAATCAAAAGCAAGTATGAAGGACTGTATATTCTCACTATACTAATTCAAATGAGAGCATTTGTGTTTGATTATGTTTCTGTGCCTGATGTTGGCCTGTGTCTCTCTATTTGTGTTAATTATGAGCTCATGTGGGCTTGTATGCAAGACACTATAATAAATATATTCATGAAGTTACACGTCAAAGTCAAAATTAATTGTGAAATTGGAAGAAAAATATGAAATCAAACCAATATCCCATTTTAATAAACAGCAGTCCAATGCTTAACGTGTGTAATGTTGAACAATGTTGAACAATGTTGAGGCAACACAACTGAAGCTGCACTGAAAAATGACTATAATTTGTTAAAAATGCAAACCTTTGATTATAGGGTTTCAGCTGCTTACGTAAACAGTACAGTTAATTAACACATGATAGCTCTGGATATTTATTCATATTTATAACAAGAAACATAACTGCAAGACGCTGGCAGGTTGCTTTCATTGAGACAAATCTCTTTTTGCTGCTGTTGTAATTAAAAATTGTATTTGTGTGATCATTGCCATTGACCACTTCATCAATCACCGCTGTGGTTCAATGTAGCATATATTTGTGATTCCTCCTTGTTGGAATAAACCTGCTCCGTGTTTGCCCCTGAGGAGCATCTACGAGCAGTGAAATATGGATATGCCATGAATTAAAAGATGTGGGGGATATTTGCTAGTTATGCTCAGGGAAGAGCTCATGCTGGGAGTGCAGTGTGTGTTAAACATCAGTGTGATTGATTAGCCAGCCAGTTGTTTCAATTTCATGGACAATGTCACACTTCCTCCGCCCATAACCTCCGCCTGAAAATGAACGGTAATGAATCCTGAGTCTGGAGTGAGTTAAAAATGTCGTGGGGCAAAGGGAAATGTACATTCTTCTTTTGCGCACTCGCAGCAGTGGAAAAAAGAGGAATATTCATGTGTGCGTGTAACGTGAGGCAGCATGAATCCCCTCACTCTAAATCACAATTTCAGTGGTCACAATTAGTAAATCGCAAAGACTGCAATAATGTTGATTATTAGACTATGCAATTAATCTAACGTAATTGTTGCTCTCAAAACAGTTTGGGTCCATCACTAGTTTTGCCTTGTATGTATGTTTGCCCCATCACAGCTTTAGATTAGATGTTTCAGACCGAACAGTGAAAAAGAGATTACAATAAAATCTCAGCCAATCAGCTCTCAGCCTAAAAATGTCAAGGAATCACACAAAATAAGATAAATCACATTCAAGGATCTGATTTATATATAGAGTTGTACTTTAATATGATGCTTTCTGTATCGACAAAAGTGCTTTTCTTATAGTATACAAAGTAAAGTAAACAGTTCGGGCCCCAGCTTTAAATAAGGAGGTATTTATCAATTTTAGAGCTTTTTGGCAGTTTTATCTGCGTATGGAAAAGGAAAGTCTGGTCTTATCCAACTATGTTCTTAGTTATTATAAGGGAGAATTTGCTTATTTAAACAGTTAAAATATTAATGAAGATCCATCCATCCATCCATTTTCTTCCGCTTTATCCGTTGCCGGGTCGCGGGGGCAGCAGTCTAAGCAGAGACGCCCAGACTTCCCTATCCACACATACTTCCTCCAGCTCGTCCGGGGGGACCCCAAGGCGTTCCCAGGCCAGCTGAGAGACATAGTCCCTCCAGCGTGTCCTAGGTCTTCCGCGGGGCCTCCTCCCGGTGGGACGTGCCCGGAACACCTCCCCAGGGAGGCGTCCAGGAGGCATCCGGAACAGATGCCCGAGCCACCTCAACTGGTTCCTCTCGACGTGGAGAAGCAGCGGCTCTACTCCGAGCTCCTCCCGTGTGACTGAGCTCCTCACCCTATCTCTAAGGGAGCGCCCAGCCACTCTGCGGAGGAAGCTCATTTCGACCGCTTGTATCCGCGATCTCGTTTTTTTGGTCATTACCCAAAGCTCATGACCATAGGTGAGGGAGGGAACGAAGATTGACCGGTAAATTGAGAGCTTTGCCTTTCGGCTCAGCTCCCTCTTTACCACAACGGTCCGATACAGCGACCGCATCACTGCGCACGCTGCACCGATCCGCCTGTCAATCTCACGCTCCATTCTTCCCTCACTCGTGAACAAGACCCCGAGATACTTGAACTCCTCCACTTGAGGAAGGACCTCTCCACCCACCTGAAGAGGGCAAGGCACCTTTTTCCGGTCGAGCACCATGGCCTCGGATTTGGAGGTGCTGATTCTCATCCCAGCCGCTTCACACTCGGCTGCAAACCGTCCCAGTGCATGCTGCAGGTCCTGGTTCGTTGGAGCCAACAGGACAACATCGTCCGCAAACAGCAGAGATGAAATCCTGTGGTCTCCGAACCGGACCCCCTCCGACCCCTGGCTGCGCCTAGATATTCTGTCCATAAATACAGTGAACAGAACCGGTGACAAAGGGCAGCCCTGTCGGAGGCCAACATTCACCGGGAACAGGTCTGACTTACTGCCGGCAATGCGAACACAGCTCTGGCTCCGGTCATACAGGGATCGGATGGCCCTCAGCAGAGGACCCCCGACCCGGTACTCCCGGAGAACCCCCCAAAGGACACCCCGGGGAACACAGTCGAACGCCTTCTCCAAATCCACAAAGCACATGTGGACAGGTTGGGCGAACTCCCATGAACCCTCGAGTATCCGATGGAGAGTATAGAGCTGGTCCAGTGTTCCGCGACCGGGACGAAAACCACACTGCCCCTCCTGGATCCGAGATTCGACCATCGGCCGTAGCCTCCTCTCCAGTACCCTGGAGTAGACCTTACCGGGGAGGCTGAGGAGTGTGATCCCACGATAATTGGAACACACCCTCCGGTCCCCCTTCTTGTAGAGAGGGACCACCACCCCGGTCTGCCACTCCATTGGCACTGCCCCCGATCGCCACGCGATGTTGCAGGTACGTGTCAGCCAAGACAGTCCTACAACATCCAGAGACTTTAGATAATCAGGGCGGATCTCATCCACACCCGGAGCCTTGCCACCATGGAGGCTACCAACCACCTTGGTGACCTCAGCCAGGGAGATGGATGTATCCGCCCCAACATCCTCAGCCTCTGCCTCTGAAACAGAGGACCCGACGGGGGGATTGAGGAGAACCTCAAAGTATTCCTTCCACCGCCCGACAATATCCCCAGTCGAGGTCAGCAGCTCTCCACCCGCACCGTACATGGTGTTGGCAAAGAACTGCTTCCCCCTCCTGAGGCGCCGGATGGTTTGCCAGAATCTCTTCGAGGCCGACCGATAGTCATGCTCCATGGACTCTCCGAACTCCTCCCAGTCCCGGGTTTTTGCCTCTGCAACAGCCCGGGCCGCGGCACGCTTGGCCTGCCGGTACTGGACAGCTGCCTCAGGAGTCCCCCGAACCATCATGGCTCGATAGGACTCCTTCTTCAGCCTGACAGCATCCCTTACTGCCGGTGTCCACCACCGGGTTCGGGGGTTGCCGCCGGGACCAGCACCAGAGACCTTGCGACCACAGCTACGAGCCGCCGCATCGGCGATTGAGGCAGAGAACATGGTCCACTCGGACTCCATGTCCCCCTCCTCCGCCGGGACCTGGGAGAAACTCTCCCGGAGGTGTGAGTTGAAAGTCCGTCTGACAGGGGGCTCAGCGAGACGTTCCCAGCAGACCCTCACTATACGCTTGGGTCTGCCAGGTCTGACCGGCTTCTTCCCCTGCCAGCGGATCCAATTCACGACCAGGTGATGATCGGTTGACAGCTCCGCCCCTCTCTTTACCCGAGTGTCCGAGACACGCGGTCGAAGGTCAGATGATACGACAACAAAGTCGATCATCGACCTCCGGCCTAGGGTGTCCTGGTGCCACGTGCACTGGTGGACACCCTTGTGCTCGAACATGGTGTTCGTGATGGACAAACTGTGACTGGCACAGAAGTCCAACAACTGAACACCGCTCGGGTTCAGATCAGGGGGGCCGCTCTTCCCGATCACCCCTCTCCAAGTGTCACTGGCGTTTCCCACATGGGCGTTGAAGTCCCCCAGGAGAATAACGGAGTCCCCGGGCGGTGCACCCGTCCAGTACCCCTCCCAGGGACTCCAAGAAGGCCGGGTACTCTGCACTGCTGTTAGGCCCGTAGGCCGTCACAACAATGAGAGACTTGTCCCCCACCCGGAGGCGGAGGGACGCGACCCTCTCATTCACCGGGGAGAACTCCAACACGTGGCGGCTGAGATGGGGGGCAATGAGAATGGCCACCCCAGCTCGCCGCCTCTCCCCGCGGGGAACTCCAGAAAAGTGGAGCGTCCAACCCCTCTCAAGGAGTTGGGTTCCAGAGCCCAAGCTGTGTGTGGAGGTGAGGCCGACTATCTCTAGTCGGTATCGCTCAACCTCCCCCACAAGCTCGGGCTCCTTCCCCCCCAGTGAGGTGACGTTTGTCGTGGCAGTTTCTATCCATAGTAAGGAAAAAGCTGGAAAGGTATTTGTCTTAAATCAAAGATGTAAACACATTTATTTTACACATATATATGCGGAGAGCCGACGTACAGTCTTGCATCGTGAGCTCTGCCGGGGCACAGCTACTGTACCAATACATATACTCAGGAGGCGCACAGCAGGGCCCCAAAACCGTGACGTCACATGGGCTGAGATTATCATGCAAACATCACCTTTTGTTTTAGCGCAAGACACAGGAAGGCCTTTGTCTTAGGTGTGAAAGGAGCAGAC